AGGGCCTCAGACATGCTGGGCAAGCACCCTACCACTAAGATACATTTCCAGACTTTTTTTGAGACCACTCCCCAAGTAGCTGGTAAATAGCTGAACCTAGTTAGTCTTTTTAATTTTACCCATTCTAATGGTTATGTGGTGGTATCTAATTGTAATTTTAATGTGCATTTTTTAATGAATAATGATGTTGAACATCACATGATTATTTAGCATCTGTTCAATATTTTGGCCCATTTTTTTTAATTGAGTTGTTTCTTGTTACTAAGGTGCAAAATTGTTTGCTTTTGAGGAAGTCCAAATTGCTATGTCCTCTATAAAAATTTACACTTTCTATAACTTACTAAGTTATCTTTAGAAAACCCAAGGTACATGCCTATAATCCCAAAGATTCAGGAGACTGAATCAGAAGGATCTGAAGTTTGAGGCCTGGCTCAACAACTTAATGAAACTCTGTCTCAAAATAAAAAATCAGAAAGGCTGGAGTTGTAACTAAGTGGTAAAGTGCCCCTGAATTCAATCACTAATACAAGAAAAGAAAAGAAGCTAAGCTTTTCTTTGATGTATTTCTCTCAATGTCTCATAGGTTTATCTCTCACAATTTAAGCCTATGATTCATTCCAACAGAATTTTTATAAATGTCATAGGTAAAAGTTGAAGTGGTTTTCTTTTTTCACATATGGCAGTCTTATGTAATTTATTTAAAAGACTATTCTTTCCTCATTAAGTTTCCTTTCCTCATTAAGTTGCTTTGGCACTGTTGTCAAAAAGGAATTGGTTTTGTCACGCACCATGGCACATGCCTTATTCCCAATGACATGGGAGGCTGAGGCAGGAGGATTCCAAGTTCATAAGCCAGCTTCAGCAACTTAGCAAGACCCTCAGCAATTTAGTAAGACCCTGTCTAAAAATAGAAAATTAAAAGGGTTGGAAATGTTGCTCAGTGATAAAATGCCCGTCAGTACAAAAAGAAAAGAAAAAAAGCAATCAGTCTTATAGAAGTAGGTTTATTTCTGTGCTCTGTTCATTCTGTTAATCTATATGTCTACCTTTATGCAAATATTGTAGTGTCTTGATTATCATAGTTTTGAAAACACGTAATGTAAGTCTTCTGATTTTGTTCTTCATTTTCTAAGTTCTGTTTTGACTAATTTAAGTCCTTTGAATTTTCATATAAATTTTATAAGCAGCTTATTAATTCCTGTAAGACAACCTACTAGCTGGGTATGGCAGTACATGGCTATAGAACCAGCAACTCTGGAGACTGAGGCAAGAGGATTGCAGGTTTAAGGGCAGCCATGGCAATTTAGGGAGACCCTGTCTAAAAGTGAAAAATAAAAAGGGCTGGAAATGTAGTACAGTGGAAAGGTGCCCCTGGCTTCAATGCTCAGCACCACAAAAAAAGGAAAAGAAAAGAAAAAGCCTGCTAGAATTTTGATTGGTATCTCACATTGGATCAATAAAAATTTCTTCAGACCTGATAAAGATATTGAATCTTCTGACCTATGAGCACTTTATATCTGTCCATTTATTTAGGTTCTTTTTTTTTTTTTTTATTGTCCTTAGAACTGTTTTGTTATTTTCAGTGTGCAGGTCTTGTATGACTTTATCAGGCAAATTTGATGCTGTGGGAAAACAGTAATTAACATGAATTTCAAATTGTTCATTGCTAGTATATGTAATTACAACACATATATATGCATACATATATTACCAACATAGATATTCAATTGATTTTTTTTTTTTAAGAAAGAGGGAGAGAGAATTTTTTTTAATACTCATTTTTTAGTTATCGGCGGACACAACATCTTTGTTTTGTATGTGGTGCTGGGGATCGAACCCGGGGCGGCACGCATGCCAGGCGAACGCACTACCGCTTGAGCCACATCCCCAGCCCTTCAATTGATTTTTATATACAGATTTTATATCCTGCAATTTTACTAAATTCACGCAGTAGTTCTAAGGTTTTTTTTGTTTGTTTTTTTTTTTTTAGGTTCCATAGGATTTTCAAACTAGGGTTTCTCGTCATTGACATTATTGACAATGTAGGATGTTTGGTATTATCCCTGGCCTAGATAGACATAACACCTCCTAATCTAGCTATAACAACTAAAATGTCTCCAGACGTGGCCAAATATCTCCTCAGGGTCAAAATCTCCCACTTTGGAGAACCATAGGCATAAACAATCATGACATCTGCAAACAGTGACAGTTTTACTTCTGTTCTTAATGTTTTGTTTTTCTTTCAATACTAGATATTGATTCCAGAGGCACTCCACCACTGAGCTACATGTTCAGCCCTTTTTAATTTTGAGACAGGGGCTTGTTAAGCTGCTTAGACTGACCTGGAACTTGTGATCCTCCTTCTTCAGCTTTAAGTAGTGTTCTTAATGGGGAAATATTCCATCATTTACTAAGAAATATATTACCACACAGTGGTACACACCTGTAATCTCAGCAATTCAGCAGACTGAAGCAGGAAGATTGCAAGTTCAAGGGCAGTCTCAGCAATTTAGTGAGACCCTGTCTTAAACTAAAAAATAAAAAGGACTGGCATTGTGGCTCAGTGGTAAAGCATGCCAGGGTTCAATGCCCATAACCATCCCCCTGTCAAAAATAAAAATAAAAGAGAGAGAGAGAGAGAGATTAACAGTTAAGTTTTCATAAGTGCTTTTTATCAGGATGAGGATATTCCCTTCTGTTTGTGTTTTGCCCAAAGTTTTTATTAGAAATAGATGTTGGAAGTTGTCAAATGCTTTTTCTGCTTCTATTAAGATGACCTTCTAAGGACTTCTTATTTAATCTGATAAATTATGTTGATTTTTAAATATTAAACCAACCTTGCATTCCTAAAATAACCTCTACTTATCATGATTTGCTAAATTTTTAAAATATTGTTATATTTGATTTTCTAAAATTTTCTGTAGAATGTTTGTAACTATATTCATAAGGAGTATTGGTCTATAGTTTTCTGATTTGGGTACTAGAGTAATGATGGCCTTAAAAAATGAACTGGGTAGTATTTCTTTCCTTCCTCTCCACCACCAAACACACACACACACACACACACACACACACACACACAGTTTTCTAAAGAGTTTGTGTATCATTGGCATTATTTTTCTTAAATGTTGAGTAGAATTCAGCAATATCCTCTGGACCTGAAATTTTCTTTAAAAAAAAAAAAAAAAACAGGGAGAGAGAGAGAGAATTTTAATATTTTTTTTTTTGTTTTCGGCGGACACAACATCTTTGTTTGTATGTGGTCCTGAGGATTGAACCCGGGCCGCACGCATGCCAGGCAAGCACGCTACCACTTAAGCCACATCCCCAGCCCTGAAATTTTCTTTATAGGATGCTTTTTACTATACAATGAATATATTTCATAGATACAGGACTATTCAAGTTATATAAATTAGTTTTGATTGTTTGTATCTTTCAAGAAATTTGTCCTGTTCACCTGACTTCTCAACTTTTGGGGCTTAAGTTGTTAATTATGTTTCCTATTTATCCTGTTAATAAATATAGACTCTGTATTGTACCTGTGTCATCCCTAAAACTGGTATGTGTGTTTTTCCTCTCCCTCATCAATCTGCCTAGAGATTTGTCCATGTGGGCCTAGTTGCACTCCCAGTTCCACATCTGTCGGGATCTGCCTAGGTCGTCCCTCCTTATGTTTTGGCCTAGTAATTCTAGGCAGTTTTGTTACTCATCTTTTGGTTGGTATGACCAAAATACCTGACAAGAAGGACTTAGCGGGCTGTGGACATAACTCAGTTGGTAGAGTGCTTGCCTCACATGTACAAGGCCTTCAGTTTGATCCCCAGCACCACAAAAAAAAAAAAAAAAGAGAGAGAGAGGGAGAGAGGAGGAGAGATTTATTTTGTCACACAGCAGAGGAAAATTTCTCAGTTTATGGCAGCCAAGAAGCAGGTATCGAGAGAAAAAAGGGACCAGGACAAGATAAACCGTTCCAGGGCATATATGCCCCAGTGACTTACATCCTAGATCCCACCTCCCAGTAGTTCATTCAGCTACTCATTGGAAGAATTTACCTCATCAGTGGATGAGATCAGAGTCTTCATGATCCAATTATTTCCTAAACAACCACCTCTGAACCTTGCTGCACTGGGGACCAAACATTTTACCTCGTTTGGACTCCTCTTTCATGAATCCTCTGTGGCTGATGTCCAGTATTTGAACAACTTTTTTTTAAATATTTCTTTGTCATTTCTGGAGAAAGAGTAAATCTGGTTCCTTTATTCCATCTTGATCAGAAGCAGAGTCCTCAATGCTATTTTCTACTTTATTGTAATTTAATGTCAAGCTGGTCCTTAGTGCTTGACTACAGAATTTATTTCACTGCTATTTCTGGAAATGAAAGGGAGATATAAGTTACTTCATAACTTTTCATCTCAGAACCATATTTGGAAAGATATCCAGATAATAGAATTTTCTCCAAATACCAATAGTAGACTAATAATAACAACTATACAGAGGAAAGGGGAGAGAGCTACTCAATTATCAGTGATAAAGACCCCATGTAACACTATTTAGCCACTAATTTAAAAAAAAAAATTTTTTTTTGTAGTTGTAGATGAACAGAATGCCTTTATTTTATTTGTTTATTTTTATGTGGTGCTGAGAATCGAACCCAGTGCTTCACATGTGGTAGGCAATTGTTCTTGCCACTGAGCTACAGCCCCTAGCTACTAATTTTTTTAAACCTTTTAATCCCAAAGTAAAGAAAAGTATGGTAGTTTTAGCTTAGAAAGACCAGATTGATTTGATGGCAAGCTGTCGTGCCCCCAACTTGAGTTCTTCAGGAGAAATATTAGGGGAAGATAATATGTTTAGGGAGAGATCTCTAATCCTTGGAGACCTATGACTTACTTCCAAGGCTGAAGTGAGGTCTAGTGCTCACACCGTACTTGTTCTGACCCACTGACATTTCTGATGCTGTTATGTAATACTCATATTCCTCCTTTTTGTCTGTGTTATAGGTTTTCTGTCTCAGCTGGTCTGTGATAAACCTCTGACTGAATGCATCCGTGCCGGCCACTATGCAGCAAATGTCATAATTAGGCGAACCGGCTGCACCTTTCCTGAGAAGCCAGATTTCCACTGATGGAAGAGCAGATAACCTAGGCCCAGGAGTACAGACACTGCCCTGATTGCTTCCTGAGAATTCCCACATTAATAAAGAAGAAAATTATCTGCTATCTTTCCTACTATAATAACATTCATTCTTAATTTAGAGGGCACAGTAATGCTTGCAGAATATTTAGTCTCTCAACAACCTGAAAAAAAAAAAAAAACTGTTTATTTCCTTAGTTTGTTAATGCCTCTTAAATGTCAGTTCAATTGGAATATAACATTTCAGTAGAAATTTTTATTTCATGTTCAATTACTTTGTAAATTCATGTGTGTGCAGTAAATTGATCCATTTCTGCTTTGAATGCAGATACAATTTAATATAATAGATTTTTTAAAAGAAATTAATCCTAACACATCAATCTTTAGCTTTTTATATAAACATATTTAATTTAGGATTGTGTAAGTGGCACATACACAGATAAATGTACCACATATATACATGATAAATGGTCAGATAAGGTACAGAAATATTTATCTTGCCAAATTATTTAAAATGTCTCTTCAGTGTGTACTCAAACGTATAATGAACTTTGGATAACTGAATAAATTGCCAAATTTTAAGTTGTATTACAATATTCAAAGTATGACCTTATGCTTACTTATGGTACTCTGTAATTTGATACAAATAAAAACTTGTCATATAGGAATTTTTTTTCTGTCTTTGCCCTATGCTCAATAAAATTAAGGAAGAAAAATTATTACTTAGTAGTAGCCCTGAAGTGAGATCTCATTTGTTGATATGGTCAGAAAGAAAGTATATAATATGTAGGAAAATAATGGTATTGAGCCAGACACAGGGTGCATGCTTGTAATCCCAGCTATCTGGGAGGCTGAGACAGAAGGATGAAAGTATGAGGCCAACCTGGGCAATGTAGCGAGACCCTGTCTCAAAATAAAAAGAGCTGGGTATAATGCTAAGCGATACAGCACCCCTGGGTTCAATCCCCAGTACCTCAAAGAAAAACAGAAAGAAAGATAATAGTATTGAATAAGCAGAAGAAATGACCAGCAAACTTGAAGACATGTTAATTGAAATTATCCAATCTGAAGAACAGATAAGAATGGATACAAATGAATAGAGCCTGAAAGACTCAAGGGACTCCATCAAGCATCAATAGCATGCTAATCACAGGAATTTGAAGTACTAGGAAAGAAGAGAAGAAAAAGGAGCAAAAAGAATAGTTGATAAAATAATGGCTGAAAACTTCCCAATTTTGTTGATAAACATTAATATACACATCCAATAAGGATCAACAAATTCCAAATTTGATAAACTCAGAGATCCACTTTGAAGCACAGCATGTCAAAAACACAAAGGAAAAGCCAGATGCAGTGACACACATGTATAACCCCAGCAACTCGGAAAGCTGAGGCAGGAGGATTACAAGTTCAAGGCCAGCCTCAGCCACTTAGCAAGGCCCTAAGCAATTTAGCAAGATCTTGTCTCAAAATAAAAAAATGTTTAAAAGAGCTGGGGATGTAACTCAGTGGTAAAGCACCCTTGTGTTCAATACCTAGTAACAAAAAATATTAATGATAATTAAATTTAAAAGAACTAGGGGTATGATTCAGTGGTAGAGGGTCTCTCCAGCATCAATCAACAGTACTAAAAAAAAAAAGGTAAAAAATGTTGAGTAGCAAAAGAGAAGCAACTCATCACATGCAGGGTATCCACAAGAAGATTAACAGCTGACTTCTCAATAGAAATGAGGGAAGCCATGGGCCAGGGCTGTAGCTCAGTGGTAGAACACTTGCCTAGCATGGTCAAGGCCCTGGGTTCCATCTGTGCCATGGGGAAAAATTAATAAATAAATAGATGATGGAAGCCAAAGAGCAGTGGATCAAGAGAATTGGAAAATGCTAGATAATCAGGCACATGTGTAGCCTGATTGGAGAATCGACATTGTTTTCATTTGCAGACAACACGATTGTATATCTAGAAATCCAGTGAACCCTAGAAAAAAGATTACTAGAGCTAATAGGCAAGTTCAGCAAGGTTGAAGGATTAATATACAAGAATTCTTTTTCCATATGCAAATAGTGAAAAACTGGGAATTAAAATTAATAATTAATAAAATGCCATTTATGATAACATCCAAAATGTGAAATACACCCGGTACATGCCTATAATCCCAGTGGCTCAGGAGTTTGAAACAAGAGAATTGTGAGTTCAAAGCCAACCTCAGCAAAAAGCAAGGCACTAGGCAACTCAGTGAGACCCTACAAAAAAATAGAGCTGGGGATATGGCTCAGGGGTCGAGTCCCCCTGAGTTCAATCCCAGTATCCCCCCCCAAAAAATGTGGAATACCAATAAAGATGTGAGTCTACTGCGCTGGAAACTACAAAACATTGCTGAGAAATTAAAGACATAAACAGATAAGCCTTCACGTGGTTCAGAACACTTAACATATTGTTCAACTGTTTGAAATGCACTAGTCAGGTGTTCTTAGTAGATCCACGGAATTGTATAGAATATTTTTGTCCACATAAAAAAGTTATTTATCAATAACTCCCGCTTCCCTTAGCTCTCTCTCAGCCCTAAGCAACAACTAACCTACTTTATATTACTACAGATTTGCTTATTCCAGATATTTCCGATAAATGGAGGCATTCAGTATCTGGTCTTTTGTGATTGGCTTGTTTCTCTTAACATAATTTTTTCAAGGTTCATCCATATTGTAGCGCGATTCAGTATTTTATTCCTTTCAATTCCCAAACACTGTGCTGTTGTAAGAGCACATCACATTTCATTTATCTACTCAACCTCAACCTCCCAAGTCATTGGGATTACAGGTGTGCACCACCATGCCCAGCTCAAATGTAAACTTTTCTTTTTTTAATATTTATTTTTTAGTTGTAGTTGGACACAATACCTTTATTTTATTTATTTATTTTTATGTGGTGCTGAGGATCGAACCCAGGGCCTCACACACACTGAGCGAGCACTCTACCACTGAGCCACAACCCCAGCCCCTCATATGTAAACTTTTTAAAGAACTACAAAATCTTTTGGGCTGGGGTTGTGGCTCAGTGGTAGAGCACCTGTCTAGCACGTGTGAGGCCCTGGGTTCGATCCTCAGCACCACATAAAAATAAATAAACAAAATTATGTCCATCTACAACTAAAAAAATATTTTTAAAACAAAGAGGGTGCACAGTTGCTAGAATGCTTGCCTCGTATGCACAAGACTCTTGGTTCAATCCCCAGCACCACAAAAATACTGTTTTCCATAATAGCCACAAAATTTTATACTCCCATCAGAATTCTGTTAAGATTCCAATTTGTTAAAACCTTACAGTACTGATTATTGCCTGCCTTTTGAATTGTAGACATTCTAGTGAAAGTGAAGCAGTATCTCATGTTTGTCTTTTTTTTATTGTGACAAAACATATAACATAAAATTTGCCATTTTAGCCATTGTAAGTGTACATGGCACTGATCACATCCACAGTGTTGTGCAATCATCACTGTTTCCACAACTTTTCCAACATCCTGAGCAGAAATTCCATACCCATTAATAGGAACTCCCCACCTTTTCTCCCTTCTGGTCCCTGGTAACTTTTAATCTACTTTCTGTTGCTATAATTTGCTTGTTCTGTAAGGGTCCGGTGAACGTCAGAGGAAGAGACCACCAAGGGACCGCAGCTCATGCAACAGCAAAAGGGGTTTATTGAGATTCTAGCATGCTGGGGCTCCGTGCCCACTCAAGAAGGGAGAACAGCCCAGAGCCCAGAGCAGGGGCTGAGCACTGCTTAAGTACACTTCTTGGGGAGGGCGGGGACTTTACATACATTACATACATCACAGTCTCCTTTAACAAATCATCATACACCGCGGGAAAATCAAACAACAACTCCTAAACATGAACAGGTCGGGTGGGGGTGATAGGTCAGTTCTAAAGTGGGGTACACATTCAAACTGATTGGTTTAGGCCCTGCGATGTCTACGTGCAAGGTCACACAAAGTCCTGGGTTATTAAACAACCAGATGGTCAGGGGGAAATATTTACTGGGCAGTTCCGGTATTGTCCTAACAGCTACAGGAATTTCAGGTTTTGCATGTAGCATAGGAACTTAACAATACCTAGTCCTTCACTTTTTAACTCAGGCCTTGCAGCTTAGGAACTTTACAATGCCTGGTCTTTTACATTTTAACTTTTAAACTTTAACTTCAATTTCTTTTACCCTTACAGTTCTAGATGTTTGATATAAGTGGAATCATTTCTTTTATATCTGGTTTATTTCATTTAATATGTTTTCAAGATTCATCCAGAGAATAATTATATATCAGAACTTCATTCCTTTTTATGGCTGAATATTCTTCCACTGTATGGAAGAGTATTACTGCCGCAGTCTGTCTGGGCACAAAATAACCGAGCCACCACACAGCCTTGTAGATTCAAACAGCAACTCTTTATTCCCGAACTCTCACCGGCACTCTACCCACACTACCTGGGAAAAATACTCCCTCCACCGGGCTCTGCGTACCAATTCTCTCAGAACCCCACGAGAACTCCAAAGGAGCGGGCGCCTGAGGCAGCAGGATACGCCCTAATCCCAGCAGGATCTGCCCTAATCCTGGAGCCGCCCTATTCCCAGTAGGATCCACCCTAATCCCTGAGCAGGGTCACCTTTCAAACCAAAATGCCATGCATCATTCCTACTTGGCTATGGCTCTCAGCATATTACCACAATACTCTTGGTATTTACCACAATCTTGTTCACCCATTCATTTGTTGAAGGACATTTGAGTCATTTCTACCTTTTGGCAATTGTGAACAATGCTACAACGATCATTAGCAAAGATCAAAACAAGTATCTGAGTCTCTGTTTTCAAGTCTTTTGGATAAATACCTAGGAGTGTGTCTTAGTCTATTCTGTGGTACTAAAACAAAATACCTGTGGCTGGATACTTTATACCACATGAAAAGGGAAAGCATATGAGGTTGTAGTGTTTCTTAACAATCCACTCTTAAAAACTAACCCAGTCCCACAACAACTGACCCATTCCCAAGAGAAAGCATTAATCCAATTAATGAGGGTAGATCCTCCATGACAATAACTTCCACTGGACCACCTCTTAAAGATCCCACCACCATGGGGCTGGGGATGTGGCATGCATGCGGCCCGGGTTCGATCCTCAGCACCACATACAAACAAAGATATTGTCTCTGCCGAAAACTAAAATGTAAATAAAATATTTAAAAAAAGATCCCACCACCTCAGAGCACTTGTCTAGCATCTGCAAGGCCCTGGGTTTAATCTCCAGTACTAAAAAAAAAAAAAAGATACTGTTAAATCAGGCACAGTGGTGCATACCTAAATCCCAGCTACTTGAGACACTAAAGAAGGATTTAAAGTTCAAGGCCAGCCTGAGAAATTTAGCAAGACCCTGTCTCAAACTAAAATAATAACAAGTGGCACACTCCTGTAATCCCAGGAATGGGAAGCTGAGAATCACAAGTTTGAGTCTACTCTGGACAATTAGTGAGACGTCTCAAAAAGAATTCTCAGTAATAGAACATTCCTGGGTTCGATCTCCAGTATCACAAAAATAAGTCTAATTAATTTAATTTTAAAAGTCTGAACTGTGGCTCAGTGATAGAGTGCTTGCCTAGCATACACAAAGCCCAGGTTCAATCCCTAGCACA